TGCCCTGCGCTCTCCCAGCACACATGTACGGTACTCACGGAAAGGTCCCAATCTGCTCTTTCGATCGGGACATTTCCCGACATGTGACCTCTGTGACGACGCGTTCTGGCGGTCACATGATCCCTAAACCACGCCCCGCCTCCCGGCGTCTGAAACTCTTAAAGGGCTGTGGAGGTGCCGGCAGGAAGGGGTTAAAGAAATATTTACTTTTAATATTTTAAAACATACATGGATAATCTTAGTATGATGAGGCACTTTTAGTGGCAGCATTCATCTGACATTTTGTATGGTTCAAATCACACCACATTCGCACCAAAAAGGTGCAGGACCCTTGTTTTGGTCTGCACTAGAATCAGATCGCATGGGTGTTCACACCCATGTTATCCGATTCTGCACATTGCACCGCATTTTGAAAACTGATTTTGGAGTGTCGTTAACTTAAAATACACACCCGCAATAGTTCCCGTGAATGGGGTGTGATTATGATGCAGTGCGGAAATCGCATAGAAACCGGTGCAAATTTTGCACCGCATCAGTGTGAACCCAGGCTCAGTGTTTAAATCTGTGATGCTCAAATATAGATCTCCTTGAAAAATGAAAAGGCAAACCACAGCATTAGGTAGCCGTAGCAGAAAAAAGTTGCAAATAATACAAATCGGTTTAACCTTTGAAACACAAAGCAGATGACAATCTGAGCAGCCGAACACAGTGCAGAGACGTGTGCACATTATACGAATAAGCTTGCATTTCAGCACGATCACTTGTTTGATAGCAAAATATGCCTTCAGAGCTGTTCATGGTGAAACATTTATGTATACTTGAGCATTCCGTTTCAGTCTGTAAAGAACACATTTCATGTTGAAGGGAATGTTGGCAAGAAGAACAGTATGGAAAACAGGTTCTTTCTTTTTTGTCATGAAGGTGTATATTTTTTTTTATTAAACCATGCATGTTGTGCTAGTTATTTTATTACCTTGGCAAATCTAAACTATACCTATTTTATATACCGTCTGTTTTTAAACATGGTTAAACAAATGGTTGACATTTGCTAAATATAGTATTTATGAAACAACATTGGTGAACATTTGACCAACATTCCTCCAGCAAAAAAAATATTTCATGATTTTTGGCAACATCTTTTCTTCAATAGGGGAGTGTCTTTACCATGACTTACCCTATTTATAAAAGGGTGAATGTTACCTTTTTTGTACTTTCATTCCCCTGATGTTCTATCACACCGTGTTTAAGCATTCAAATCATTGCATTTTTGATAGGGATGTATTATTCTTTTTAAAATTCAGCATTTCAATGGTTAACTGTCATTTTAAATAATCACCATTTGCCCCTACCACCTAAACCTAACCATTCCAACACATCAGCATCAGGGAGTGTACTTTGACTAATGCCCCCTTCTAAAAGTACAACTGTCTGATGCTTATAGGCAACAGGCTGTTTAGGAGGGCATGCAGTCATGGGGAAGTAGGTGTTTGCTTCTTCCCCGGTGAACTGGTTTTGGGGGTAATATTTCAGATGGTGAGGTTTCATCAATGTACAGTACTTGGCCATATTTGCACACAGACCAAATGTTGGTAGAAATTTCATAGGGAACTTGGCATTTAAAACCACACAGTACAGTTGAACGGTGTTGAAAAGGGACCTATGCTCCCATATTTGGAATTCTGCCACTGAAGGTGACACCATGAGAATGTTAGGTCAATATTAGTGAAATTGAAAAAAATGCTTTTTTTTACCAGATGTTTGTGTTTTTATTTACTTTTACACACCCAAATGAGTGGTGCTTTTGTTAGGGGCCAAGAGACCATTAAAACCAGTTCAGGGGGAGAAGGTGGTGACCACCTGTTCATGCATCTGCATTGTCCCACCTGTAGCTGGCCAGCTAAGACCAGTCCTAGGTTGCTAATATGGTTCACATATATGTGTATACCAAACCTGCCAATAACCTCAGTACAGTATATATGTGCATATGTTAAAGCCAAAAGCAGAATCATTGCTGTGATTTATGTCTTTGATTGTTATATGACATTTTTATATTAATTGTGTTAGCAGAAGCAGAAAAGGAAAATATGCCTTTAAGAGTTAGTTAAAGGTGAGCCAATCACAGACAGCCTCACACTGTACAGAGCCTTAACCAATCCCAGCCAGTTTCACATTTGTGCCTGTGTAAAAGTCCCTGCTAGGATTTTCTAGAGACACATGCTCACCAGACAGAAGAGGAAACAAAGTTCCAATCAGAAAAGCTTTATGGAAGCAGAGAAGGCCAAATAGGTATTTAATGCACTTGTGTGTTCCTCTGTTGTTTGGTAATGCAGGTAGATCTGTATCTAAAAACTGTTGTATGTGTTTACTTGTAGTTCCACCGAACTTACGAATCAAGTCAATGTAGAGTAATCTAACGAACTTACGAATCAAGTCACTGTAGACTAATCATAATCGAATGAATTCTAATGAATCTATTGAGATAAGCTATCGAATCAACCCAATGTAATACGAATTAAACCATTGTAATATGAAAGAAACAAGCCATTGTAAGCAGTGTTATATGAAGAAGATTGAAGTTATTAAAGAAGTTAACTAAAGTATTCGGTGTGCTCTTTAAACCTACTGCATCTATAGAGCGGCATTGGAGGAATTACAGAGTAAAGTCAGTCTAATCAAACAAAGAAACAGCAATTGCATAATTTTTCTAATGCCACAGCGCACTAGGCACCAAAGGGTGCTGCGCCTGCCACACCACCTGCCAATGTAAAAAAATCCCCTTTTATTTTGGTGGCCAGAGGGTGGAAGAATGCCCCCGCAGCATTCTTCCCACTAACCACCAATATAAAAGGCATTTACCCTCTGACCTTATGGCTCAGTGACTGGGTCTTAGGTATTGTCAGTGTAATTTGCCATTACCTGTGCATTGTCACAATTACCTCTCTGTTACCAGCAAAATTGTTACACTTGCCCATTTGTTGTCTGCAGATTTTCACAATTGCCTATTGTTGCTCATATATTATCAGGATTGTCCATTTGTTGTCCACATTTTGTTAAGCTTGCCTATATTTTGCCCATATATTGTCATAAATGTCCATTTGCTGCCCACATGGTATAATGTACAACAGGTATACTTTTTGTCAATGTATTGCATCAAGTTCTCTTTTACTGCCCAGGTATTGTAACAATTGACTGTTTATTGTCTACATATTGTATTATTGTCCATTTGAAATGTATTTATTGTCAGGATTGCCATATTGTTCTATGTATTTTTCACAACACCTCTGTTTAAAGGATTGAAATTAGATTACTCTAATTTAATCACCTCCTTGCTTGTCTCAACCATACTGCAACTATCTACCTGAATTTAATTAATAATTGAATTCATTATTTTTTTTTTTATGATCTGATTTATATATATAACGTTTAGATAAAGAACATTTTCTTTATTCATTTAGAAGTATATTTATAAAGCAGTGACTATGACATTCACCAAAATTTACTGCAGGTGAATTAGTAACTGTAATTTAAAACATGTTCCAGGAAGGTATATATGTTTGGTGAATATCACAGTTACTGCTTTATAAATACAACCATTAAGATTTTTACTAAAAATAATTTTGCCACATAGGGGAGGGGGTATTAAAAATGTATACAGAATGTAATATAAAATAATACAGAATTTAATATAAAAGGCAGAGCCATGCAAATAATTCCTTTATGCCACCTTTGATTAAATATACAAGGGGTCTTCAAAAAGTTTCTGCACTTTTATATATATAATAGAGTTTAAAAAAGTGTGGAAACTTTTTGAAGAACCCTCCCACATACATTTATAGAATGGATTATTCTAACTTGAGTATCACAATCTGTAGCAGTTGTTTCAGCAGGTGTACTGTTTTACAATGCTTTAGATCAGGGGTCTCCAAAACCTCTAAACAAAGGACCAATTTACTGTCAAACTTTAGGAGGGCCGGACTGTGGCCAGCGGAAGTAGAACATTTCCTGGTGTCAGTGGCAATACACAATGCTCCATCTATAAGTATAAGGGGGAGAAATAGTGCCCCATCATTGGTGGCAGTGGGAGGAATAGTGCCCCATCATTGGTGGCAGTGGGAGGAATAGTGCCCCATCATTGGTGGCAGTGGGAGGAATAGTGCCCCATCATTGGTGGCAGTGGGAGGAACAGTACACCATTGTTGGTGTCAGTGGGAGGAATAGTTCCTCATTTATGGTGTCAGTAGCAGGAACTATGCCTCGCTGTTGCTGACGGAGGGGGGGGGGGGGAGGGATTATTAATGCCCCAAGAGCTGGATAAAATCAAGCAAAGGGCCATAGTTTGAAGACCAATGCTTTAGATCAATGGTCTCCAAACTGCAGATTGAACCAGATGAAGCCCTTTGCTTATCTTTAGCCGGCCCTTTGGGAACTCTTCTTCCCTCTGCTGAAAATGACTATTCTCCCCACTGACACCAGCGACGGACTATTATTCCTCTCACTGACAGCAACGATAGGGCACTATTCCACCCACTGACAGCAAAAAGAGGGGCACTATTCCTCCCACTGACACCAATGCTGGGGCACTATTCCTCCCACTGATACCAATGCTGGGGTGCTATTCTTCCCACTGACACCAGTGATGGGGCGCTTTTCCTCCCACTGGAACATCATTGGTCAAAAAAATAAAGAAAGAAAGAACCAAATAAACATTGCGTGAGAAAACTTTTCTTTACTTGAAAAACCTTATTTCTAAACAAATTATTGCAGATTTTACAATGTTGTGGATGCATAAATACAACTACATCTTCATAATCCAGAATAAAGACAAAAGGTCCCTCCTACACTGCTTCTATTTTAGCTTCATAGGAAAATTAATTAAAATGAAAGCATGTAATTATTCAGTCCGCTAATTACTTTTATCTTTATATCATAATAAGTGTTGTATTGTGATACAGGCTATCCTTTTATTCACATGATTGTTATTATTATATGTTATTTTGTAGATCTGGTTAACGTTCATGAGGTGCTTTGACTATCCTGTCAAAGATAACACAATCAAGCTAACTGTAGTGTGGCTCACTCTGTCATTCGGGTAAGGGTTGCTCATTAAAATAAAGACTAATCATGTCTATTCAGTTTGCATTCATTGGTGCAAACAAATATTTTCTTTTACAATAAGATTAGGATCTGATCCTAAATATGCAGTATTGGTGACTATATGTAAGACTGAGAAGTCAAAAAAGTATTAGGTAGCCTTATTTGTTAGCAATGCAGGATATAAATATATTTGATACACAACTGCATTGAATTGGGCTTCTGTAAGGTGCGGACCTGTAACCTCTACTGCAGAGACCCAGTTTTTCCCATTTAATACATTGTCTTATCTTTAGAGAAGGTGAAACCAGGCTGTCAATAACAACCTGAACAGCAAGGAACCCCCCCCCCCCCAACCTATTCTGTGACAGTCCAGTGCTCTATACAAGGCAGTAGGCATGCATTGATGGCCAGAAGAAGTGATTTAAATAGTAGATCAGGGCTTAGCCACTGACTTTTGACAAAAAGTCAACATTTGCAGTAACAGTACTGTTTAGTCTGCCTAGCATGCATGTTTTGGGGAAAATCTGATTGTCTTTGAAACAGCATTTTAAGCAGGCAATGGAGCAAAGTAAGAAGGTACTGCTAGGTTTACTTATTAGGGGATGAAAAGATTCAGTTTCTATATATTTCAATGCACATTCAGCTTCGGTAAAGAAATGAAGCAAATAGCTGTTGTGCGCTTGATGTTTGAAACTCCTAAGGGGCTTATTTAAAAGCAGCAGTATAAAAAGTACAGTGATGTGTCTGCACAGCTGCACTCTATGGCCGTTTTTTTTTTATGAATGGGATGAGTTGTGCTGTATAACAGAGAATGGATATTGATACCTTCTCAACATAATAAATGCCCTGTCAGGGATCCTACAGCGGTAGCCTCTAGCACTCCACAGACCGCATTCCCCCAAGGCGCGGAATATAAGTCCCTACCTGCTTGTTCACCAGGGCCCCTGATGGTGGGGATGGACTTGGAGCAGGCCGAGACCAGGTCGCAGCCCTTGAGTTCACCCAGCTGTGGTAGAAGCACCGTTGGAGGTGTATAGCAGGTGAGAGTCTGATGTGAGGAGGTCACAAGAGCAGCGTCAGGCAGGCTGGGTCGGTAACAGTGGTGGCAGCGTGGTACAAAGTCAGCAGGCAGAGGAATAAACTGGTCACAAGCCGGGTTCGTTAACAGGAGATCAGAACGTGCAGGGTTAAGCAGGAGAATGGTCAGACAAGCCAGGGATCAGAGCAGGAGAAGACAGCAGTATCAGGAACAGGCTGGGTCGGCAACAAGGTATTCAGGAACACTGGATCAAACAGGAACACAGGTAACAGGTAAGACCATACGGCACTTGAGCATTGCAAGAGCTGGGTTTAAATAGGCCGCCCAACTCCTGACAGGCGCTCCTGGGTCCTAGTGCCTGCCCGGCGCCGTCATCGGTGACAGGCGCGCCTGGGTCCTAGTGCCTGCCTGCCTGTATGTCTTGTCAGGATTCTACGCATGTGCAGATTCGATCGCCGAGGCGATCTTCCCATTCCCTGACATGCCCCTTTGGTGTACCCTGAGTGAGGAAAACCTACTTAGAAGCACTATTTAGAATGGGAGCTGCTGTATCAACATAGGTACTACACTACAAAACTCCCCCATTTGCCATTCAACTCACAGGGTGCTTAGCACTTGTTAGGAATGTATGTACCAAGTACCCCACTTTAGGGAACCATTGTTGTGTATGACAATGCAAAAGAACAACATATTAGTACATATTAGTAGATTATTTATTGACATATTTCTTATTTAACCCCTTAACATGCAACTTCTGTATCATGTGGCTGCAGTGATTGCCTCTCACAGTGGCTACATGATTGGGAGTCCATCCCGCTGGCTCTCAATGAGATGTCTTGACTGAGTGCTCTTCACAGTTCAATCAGTGTGTAAACGTGCTCTCAGCACACAACGTCAGGCTGGTAGAGATGCATACATGCAGCGGTTGGGAGTTGAAGCTCATTTTTCTTAGTGACACATGTATGCATTATAGGGTTGGCAAGAGTTTAGTGTTTATAGCCTATATTAGGAAATAATTTCCAATTTAAGCTGTTGACGCCAGCAACACGCATATATGCGGCCAGCAGCAGTTAGTGGCGGCAAACGGAAAGCTCCCGATCTCTACTTGAGATCGGTAACTTTCCAATCATGTGACCACTGTGAAAGACAATTACGGTGGTCACATGATCAGAAATCCAGCCCCACCTCCCTGCACCTGAATCCCCCAAAAGGGCCATGAGGTGTTGGCGCCAAGGGGTTAATGTAGATTAGAATCTAAAGCTGTGGCAGCAAGCTTTTTTATTTTTCAGTGATAAGCCTCTATCCAACCAATTTGTTTTTTCTTTTTTTTTTCTTTTTTTTTTGTGGGGAGGCGGGGGGTAGAACAGGAAAGATTTGTTCACTATCTGATGAAGAACATTCCTCTCATGTTTTGTCCTCACAGGTAGAAATCTCCCTAGTACAGACACTGTGCCACGATGCCAATTAAAACACAACATAAGTTTTGGTTATAGTTAGGCTTTATTAGTTGTTTTGTCTTTTCTTTAATTTTCTCTTCTGTGTCTTTTGACATGATCTTTTTTCCATTTCAACAGCTACTATGGACTATCTGTCTGGTTCTCAGATGTTATCAAGCACCTCCAAGCTGATGAATACGCTTTAAGAGTGAAATATTTCCATGGGGAAAATATCTCCAACTACAATTTTAACTTCACTTTGGAAAATCAGATCCATAAAAATGGAGACTTCATCAATGACAAGTATTTATTTTCTGTTTCTGTCTATAAAACAGTTTTATTGTACTTTGGCACAAAGAGCAAATATGACTGCAAACTGTACATGGTGATCCTATAAAGGTGATATTGATAGCTAAACCATGGGTCCGTATCTGTACTATAAGTTCTCATTCACATGAGCATACCTATCTTTACACCCATACAAAGGGCCATCTTTACCCACACAGGATGCACAGGTGTCCCCTGGACCCATTCATGTCTACTGGGATGCAGTGGCTGCACAGACACAGCCACTGGTTCCAATTTGACATCTGTGCAGATGCTGATGCATGTCCTCAAACAAACACTATCTGCATTCAGAGACATACACTTGCACCCTCAAGGCTGTCGAATTGGGAGCAGCAGCTGTGTGAGCAAAGATGGCCTTTCACACGGGTGTGAATGAGGCCTAATAATAAAATGTCAATTATGTACACCAAAGTATGTGGACAACTGACCATAACACTTACATTGTGACCAAAAGTCTGTAGACACCCATCCAAAAAATAGAGTTCTAGCATTTCCAGTGAAGGGTCCCTTTAAGGCTACAGTATAAAAATACATTTTAGACTATTGTGTGCTTTCAAACTTTTGGTAACACTTTGGGGAAGACCCCTTTCTGTTTTGGCATGGCTGTGCCCCTGTGCACAAAGCCAGGTACATATATATGGTTTGATGAGTTTAATGTTGTCATGTACCTGATAGAGGCCTCGTTGCCTTACACCTCATATCCAATAACCCCTGGTGTTGGTAAAAGAACGTAGCAGAATGAGGAGTGGCATGGGTGCCTCAGGTGGGTTGACATGCAGAAGATGATCAGAAGGCAGGCTGGATATTTTTGTGATGCTGTGGATTCACAGAATGCATTTGGTGCAGAATGCAGACACATAGGTGGAACACAGGAATCCGAAGATGCAAGAAACAAGCCGTAGGATAGACGAGCTGGAAACAGCAGCAATAGCAGTACCAAATCAGGAAAAAGGAGCAGGGTCAGAAGCCAGGCTGGGGTCAATATCAGGCAGGCAGATCAGATACAATGAAATCAGCAAGCAAGTTGAGTGAAGCACACAGCAGCAGAACGCAGGTCAGGTCACAGAAGCTGATGACCACTCAGCAACTTCTCATCAGTGTGTTGTGCTTTAACTAAGGAGATTGGTGCCAGTGTCAGACATGCACATGCATTAGCATGAGCAGGTGCATACTGTATATGCGCAAAGGTGTGCACAAAACCCAGTGTATTGAAGCACTATTTGTAATATGTGCATGTACAGGTCTTTGGGCTTGGCCATACACTCAGTGATCCTGATAGGTGTGGAGGAAATTCAGTAGCCTTCACAGAGCCTTAACTAAATGAATTGCAATGTCAGTTGAAAGCCAGGTCGTCTCGTCCAACATCAGTACCCGACCCTAAATGCTGTTCTGGCCAGTTGGAAACAAATTCCCGCAGATACATTCTAAAATTTTGTGAAAAGCCTTCCCAGAAGAGGTGTCCACAAACATTTGGCCCTGTTGTGTATGTTGGATACAATATTCAGTTTTTTCACCTTAGCTGTGTCTACTTTTAAGCGCCTAGCTCTTCATTACCATTAACTTGCACATCTTAACAGCAAGATATTCTACAAGTGATTATATGCATGTGATTATTTACAATTACTTGCACTTCCTTGCATCAGTTAAATGATACCTTTGTATGTGACAGGTTCATCTCAATGAAGTTTAAGTCGGTGGTGTTCCAGGATTCTCTGTTTGAGAGATGTTACTTTGAAGATGTCACATCACTGAACACATACTTTAGGAACTGCACCTTCATAGACTCACATTTTGTGAACACAGGTAGAGTTTCATGACTCAAATGAAGTTGCTAAAATGACTCATGTCACCTGAGATTTCTTTTTTTCTACACAGCTGGGATTGAGATTATTTCAGTAGGTACTGTCAGTTATTGCTAAGGCGCACTGTTCTAGGTATTCTCTGCCGGAGTGGATATCACAGCTGTGTCTCTACAGAACTACAGCTGGTTACTGAATTCATTTTCCAGTCCCAGAACCATGGTTCATTCAAGCCGTGACATGGATCTTTTCCCACCGATTCTCATAGCACAAGATGCAGTAATCAGTTCTGCCTAATGTTTAGTTTATTATTGGAGAATAGTTTAAAGTGTGTGTCAAACCCAAAACACTGGCTAGAGTGAAGAAGGAATAGACCTCCTGCAAGGTTCACAGTATGATCTGAGGCTCCACTGGAGAGATTTCTCCTCACTTCCTGTCCTGATGACAATGGTTTCACTATGCAGGAAAATCTGCAACAAGGACACAGACAGAAAAGAAACTGACAGGAGTTCTAGCCTTCCCCTTCTCTACTAAAGAAAATAATTGTTGGATCTTTCTTTGCTTCTGTTGAAAAGTTGCCCTCACTTCCTGTCTGATAAAACATTGTCAGCAGAGCAGGAAGCGAGGGGAAATCTGTGCAATGCAGTCTTGGATAGCAGTAAAAAACAGACAGGAGTCGTGATCCATTCCCACTTTATCCAAAATTAAAACAGTTACTTAAGGCCCCTTTCTTACTGACGGTCAGTTTTTCATGCGGACCTGATCAGACCATCCATAGCTTTCTATGGACTGGTGGGTTTCAGAGGACATTGCTACTTTCAAAGCAAATACACTTTTGCTCACTGGTACTAACCTGTATTCCAGCATGTCTTCTTTCTCATTTACTCTTCCTCATGCAGCTAATGATGTCCTCCTTATTAACCAATGACGTCAGCCATTGTTAGGATGCTGACAGCTGGCCTACACAGTGCCCAGGGTTGTAATGTTGCACAATGTAAACCTGTGGTTTTGTGTAACAAAAAAGCAAGCTTTTTCCACCTGATGGCTTGTACAGTAAGTACCCGACTTATGAACATTCAAGTTGCGAACTTTCACAGATACAAACAGACCTCGCATTATGAACATTCAAAGATGCAAACAAAGAGCTGGAAGTAGCTAGTGTGTCTGCCAGACATTGTCACAGCTGCGCTGTTGTGTACTTACTGTACAGTACAGTGTGATAGTGTACAGTACAGAGCCCAGGATGTCCAGAAGCAAGATGCTACGAGCTTGGCACACCTATTTTTGGGCAATTTCTCCCATTCTTCTTTGCAGTACCTCTCAAGCTCCATCAGGTTGGATGGGGAGAGTCGGTGCAAAGCCATTTTCAGATCTCTCCAGAGATGTTCAATCAGGTTCAAGTCTGGGCTCTGTCTGGGCCACTCCAGGACATTCACAGAGTTGGCCTGTAGCCACCCCTTTGTTATGTGGGCTGTGTGCTTAGGGTCATTGTTCTGTTGAAAGATGAACCGTCACCCCAGTCTAAGGTCCAGAATGCTCTGGAACAGGTTTTCATCAAGGATGTGTCTGTCTTTTGCTGCATTCATCTTTCCTTCGATCCTGACTAGTTTCCCAGTTCCTGCTGCTGCTGAAAACCATCCCCACAGCATGATGCTTCTACCACCATGCTTTACTGTAGGGATGGTATTGCCAGGTGGTGAGCGGTGCCTGGTTTCCTCTAGACATGACACTTGGCATTCAGGCCAAAATGGTCAATCTTTGTTTCATCAGACCAGAGAGTTTTGTTTCTCATGGTCCGAAAGTCCCTCAGGTGCCGTTTGGCAAACTCCAGGGGGGCTGCCATTTGCCTTTTACTAAGGAGTGGCTTCCGTCTGGCCACTCTACCATACAGGCCTGATTGGTGGAGTGCTGCAGAGATGGTTGTTCTTCTGGAAGGTTCTCCTTTCTCCATAGAGAAATGCTGGAGCTCTTTCAGAGTGACCATTGGGTGCTTGTTTACCTCCCTGGCTTAGGCCCTTCTCCCTCGATCTCTGATTTTGGCCATCAGCCTGCTCCAGGAAGATTCCTGGTGGTTCCAAACTTCTTCCATTTACGGATGATGGAGGCCACTGTGCTCATTGGGACCTTCAATGCTGTACCCTTCTCCAGATCTGTGCCTTAATACAATCCTGTCTCGGAGGTCTACGGACAATTCCTTGAACTTCATGGCTTGGTTTGTGCTCTGACATCCACTGCTAACTGTGGGTCCTTATATAGACAAGTTTATGCCTTTCCTAATTATGTCCAATCAACTGAATTTCCCACAGGTGGACTCCAATCAAGTTGTGGAAACATCTCAAGGATGATTAGTGGGAACAGGATGCACCAGAGCTCAATTTTGAGTGTCATGGCAAAAGCTGTGAATACTTATGTACATGTGGTTCGTTTTTTATTTTTAATAAATTGCAAAGATTTCAAAACGAACTTCTTTCAAATTGTCATTATGGGGGTATTGTTTGTAGAATGTTGAGAAAAAAAATTAATTTAATCTATTTTGGAATAAAGCTGTAACATAACAAAATGTGACAAAAGTTAAGCTCTTGAATACTTTCTGGATTAACTGTATAAAATAACAGTGTGAGGCCCTGCACTGGATAAATGGAAGTAGAAAAGACACAGGATTTCCATTAAGGTTTAGTGTGAAGTTCAAAACTATCGTTTCTGTGTGAAGAAGACTGGTGTTTCAGTTTTTCCAGGATTTATAATCCCGGATCTGGGCCTGGATATGGTTGCCACCTCATCTCTTTAAAACCAAACACATATTAGTTGCACAGGTTCTGAAGCTAATTTAATGCATATAAGGCACTAAGTGAGTTTAATTACCACCTTAATCAGACAAAAAACCTGTGTAAATAATATGTGTTCAGTTTTAAAGGGATGAGGTGGCAACCCTAGTGTTAGGGATCCGGGTATGACCAGAAATGTGTGGACTGACACAGGGTAACGCAGGCTTCAGGTATAGTGTAAATAAGACAATTTATTAAGACTAAACAACACAAACGCAGTGCAAGGTAAACATAACACAGTGCAAACAACCCAAACTCCAACAGATAACCATATATACAAATCAACGTAGTCGGGCAAGCCGGCGGTCGGTAGCAAACGGGCAAATGGTACCAGGAGAGAGCAGAAGAGTAGTCAGGAATAGCCGAGGTCAGGACAGGCAGAGTTCACTCAGAGTCAGGATCAAGCAGAATCAGGAATCAAGCAGGAAGCAGACAGGATGCAGGTACAGGGGCTCATGGAAACATTACACCAAGGCCCTGATCACAGGCCTGGCCATTCCTTAAATACACCTGCTGCAATCAGCCTCAGGTGATGGCTCATTGCAGGAGTGAGCCTCTGGTTACTGAGAGCACCCACTGGCCAGCCTTAGTACTGCAGCCCACAAGGCAGGTGAGTCCCACCACCACTGGCAAGTCCATTCCTGACACCTAGGCCTGGACCTGGTAGGCTGCAAAGTGTTGTGGATGGGATGGAGCCTTCAATCCTGTGTTCAGGTCTTATTGGAGAGATATTTGGGAGACAAGACTCCATGATGGAGAGATTTCCTTACTTGCAGGACTGGGAGAGACAAGACAGATAATCGAGTTGGCAGAAGACTGAGAGAGCTGAGGCAACTAGCAAGTCCAGGGTACTGGAGGGGGATCTGTAAATCTCCAGAAGAGTGAGAGAGCCCGGAGTGGTAGGAGAACCCTAGAGGCCAGGATTGGACCCGTGCAGTGAAGCTAAGTAAGCCAAGAAAGCCAGGGAGCTGGGTCTGAAGTCACCTGACAAAACTAGCAGTGCTGCTGAAGCGTAGCCAGGTAGTTCAGCATTTTTGATGGTTTGCTCTGTGAATCCAAAACCCCTGCATGGGCTACCTTATGTGAACTTCTTTTGTCGTTTTGTTATAAACGTGAGCCAGAAAGTCCTAAATACAGTTCGGACTGATGCAACTCGTTGAAAACGTATCTACCACACTGAACATAATCACCCCAATAACACTATATATATACACACACACACATACTTCATTTAGTTAAATAGTATTACAACTCCCTGTGGCACTTTAGTGCACAAAGTATTATAGTACATAATAATATGACTGAACCAAATGACATAAACTAGTACGTTTAGCCTAATGTAGCAATAATGAGAAACCCTAGGAGAGTCCTCCTTGTATGAGCTTATACAATACAGATATCATTTTTTTACATATCATCACACATTTTTCTTTACATCATTGATTTTTATACCATGCTAGTAAATAGCTGTCTTTATGGGTTTGTTGCTTTGTCTAGGAAATCAAATACTTCCTTACATGCTGTGTACACTGCAGTATTATATCCAGTTTTAGCAGAATTACATTCTCTTCTATAATCACCTACAGCTGTGGACTACAATCTAGTGAAACAATTTCATTTTGAAATACCAAAGCCAGACTTTTTTTCTCTATATAAACATAGAGGAAAGGACTTCTAAAAAATAGTGTAGACACAGCAAACACGCTTTATTACTGCAGTAACTGTCTTTCCACCCAGGCCTGGAATTCATGAGCATAGTGCCACCTACTGTACATCAGGAGAGTAACATGGATATGAATTAGATACAGAGTAATGCAGGCCATAGATGGGTCAAAATTCGGCCGATTTTTCTTTTAAAAAACCGAAAAATCGGTCGTTCAAGTGGCCGACGTTACCACCAATGGTAAAAAAAAAAATCGGCCGATTTTCATCCCGTCTACAGCCGGCAAAAAGTGTCCCTGCAGAGAGCTCTGCTATTTCTTTGACAGTTCCTTGACATTTACAGAGGTTGCAACAATGTATCTATTTGTATCCATTTAGGATACAGATGTTTTTATTCGGAAACAAATAGATACAATGTTGCAACTTCTGTAAATGTCAAGGAACTGTCAAAGAACTGTCAAAGAAATAGCAGAGCTCTCTGCAGGGACACTTTTTGCCGGACTGGAATTCCTCTTATTTTTCATCCTTCTTCTTCTCCTTCTTCATCATCATCCTCTTCTTCTTCATCATCATCCTCTTCTTCTTCTACTTCTTCATCATCATCATCCTCTTCTTCTTCTTCTTCTACTTCTTCATCATCATCCTCTTCTTCTACTTTTCTCATCTTCTTCATCATCATCCTCTTCTTCTTCTACTTCTTCATCATCATCCTCCTCCTCCTCTTCTTCTTCTTCTTCTTTTTTCTTTTTTTTTCTTCATCATCATCATCCTCTTCTTCTTCTTCATCATCATCATCCTCTTCTTCTTCTTCTTCTTCTACTACTTCTTCATCATCATCCTCTTCTTCATCTTCTTCTACTTTTTCATCATCATCCTCTTATTCAACTTCTTCTACTTCTTCTTCATCATCATCTTCTTCTTCTACTTCTTCTTCTTCATCATCATCCTCTTCTTCTTTTTCTTCATCATCATCATCCTCTTCTTCTTCATCATCCTCTTCTTTTTTCTTCATCATCATCATCCTCTTCTTCTTCTTCTTCGTCATCATCATCCTCTTCTTCTTCTTCTTCTTCTACTTCTTCATCATCATCATCCTTTTCTTCATCTTCTACTACTCTCTTCTTCTCATCATCATCTCTTCTTCTTCTACTACTACTTCTTCATCATCATCCTCTTCTTCTACTTCTTCATCATCATCCTCTTCTTCATCTTCTTCTACTTCTTCATCATCATCCTCTTCTTCTTCTCCTACTTCTTCTTCATCATCATCTTCTCTTCTTCATCTTCATCATCATCCTCTTCTTCTTTTTCTACTTCATCATCATCACCCTCCTCTTCTTCTTCATCATCATCCTCTTCTTCTTCTTTTTCTTCATCATCATCATCATCCTCATCTTCTTCTTCATCATCATCCTCCTCCTCTTCTTCTTTTTCATCATCATCATCCTCTTCTTCTTCTTCGTCATCATCCTCTTCTTCGTCATCATCATCCTCTTCTTCTTCTTCTACTAATTCATCATCATCCTCTTCTTCTTTTTCTTCTTCATCATCATCATCCTCTTCTTCTTCTTCTTCTTCTTCATCATCATCCTCTTCTTCTTCTTTTTCTTCTTCATCATCATCCTCTTCTTCTTCTCATCATCATCATCATCCTCTTCTTCTTCTTCATCCTCTTCTTCTTCCTCTTCTTCTTTTTCTTCTTTTTTTCTTCCTCTTGCAAGTCACTGCTCATGCGCAGATTTTTTATCGGTAAAAAATCGGCCGATTAGCCCATTATTGCCGGGAAAATCGGCCGATCGGCAAAATTGGCCGATTTGTTTCCAAGTTTCCCGATTAAAAAAAACGGGCAAAATACCGAAAAAAGGCCGAACAAATAGCCCACTAACGATCCGAAAATCGGCCGATTTTATTTTCGGCCGAAAAATCGGCCGATTTTCGACCCATCTATGGCCTGCATTAGGTACATTTAACAATCAATCAGTCATTGGGTTTAACAAAATAGCCATTTTTATCATGGAGGTTAATTCAATTCTAGTTAATACAAAAAAGGGGTGTGCCCATAACCACTTGTCCCTTTTATGCTGCTTGAAAGGAAAGGGAATCTTCTGTTACATCATAAGATAAGTATGTCTGTATTCAAGACTTGCACAAATAAGGCCCCTTTCACACGGGCTTTCTGTTTTTTTCATCAGTTCAGTCACGTTTTCTCTAAGAAAAAAAAAGATCAGTTCACATGAGTTTTTCATCAGTTCATGTCAGTTTTTCACCCGTTTACATCCGTTTTTCATCCATCTACATCCATTTTCATCCGTTTACAACCGTTTTTTGTCCATTTACATCCATTTTTTCATCCATTCTGGGGTTTTTCTAACGGAAGAAAAAAATGGGGTTTTCTTCCATTCAAAAAAACGGATGTTAACTGATGCAGACATTAATGGATGTAAACAGATGATCATCCATTTACATTCGCTAGTCCATATAAATACATGAGTGTCTGCTTTTCATCTGTAAACAGACAGATGATAACGGACATATGGAATGCCTGTGTGAAAGGGGCCTTAGAGGACTAGAGAGGAGAAACCACAGCCTGGACCTCATTTTCTAATTAATCCACATGACTAAGTCATGGGGATTTATTTTATAGAAGTTTGTTTTCTTATGTTGTATTAATGTTTTGAGCTTTGTGGTCTGGTTAGATGCCAGTAGTCCCCTAAAGCCCTAAAGAAGAACTTCCATCCTAGGTTATTAAAAAATAGGATGCTGTCAACAATAGTGGGTTTTAAGCAAAGGTCTAGAAAAGATAAAATCACCCTGTGTGAGGATGAAGCATTATCTTCCTTAATGCAACTAATGACACACTTTGGGGAGTTCTCTGGTTTCCGCATAAATTGGGATAAATCTGTGTTACTCCCACTAGATGCTATAACAGTAAATGTACCTGCTGACACTTCTCAAATTAAAGTAGTTGATGCTTTCAAAACATTTAAGGGCTGTTATCTCCGAAAAATCCCACTGATGTACCTAAACCTTAACTTGTCCCCAATCTTAGATAAATGTAAAATTAAGTGTACCAGCTGGTGCAAACTTCCACTTACAGTTATAGGAAGGACTGATCTCATCAAAATGGTATGAGCACTTCAGTTGCTATACATATTACATACCTCAAATGTATGTGGGCACTTGTTAAAACATACTTAGGACGTCAACATGAGTCTAGGTCTTCCAAGACCTAGATTCATTCAACTCTTGCAACTTACGCATGCTATGGCAGTCCAGGCTCGTACGCATAAATTAGTTCTGCATCAGAATCCAGTTTTGCCATTGCTTGCACACACTGGCTCCAAGAAGGGACTTGTCTTCTCAATTTTATCAGATTCTCTATAACAAAATAGGAATACAGACTAAAATTTTGCCCAAACAAAAGTTGGAAGGAGGACCTAGGATCCCTATTGGAAGAACTATGGGAACAGGCACTTACTACACTTACATTAGTGTCGCTGTCTCCTACACAAAGACTTATGCAACTGTGTATTTTGCCTGGGACCTATCACACTCCTGCTAAATTATTTCAGTGGCCACATAGGGACACCTCCAACTACCCTAGATGTGACAGGAGACAAGCAGGTTTCATACATGTGCTTTGGAGGTGCCCTAAATTGATACTTGAGATATGTGGTGTCCTTTATCTCTACGGTATATACTGTAACTATACCACTTGACTCTAAAGTGTGTTTACTGAATTAGTTTGATGAAGATTTTATAATTACTGAAATGCAAGACCCTTTCATCAGGTGGTTGTGCACACAGTAGCTCGCAAAATAATGGCCCAAAATGAATATCTTATTTCCCAACACTCGTTAAATAGAAAACATCAGGTCAATAATACCAAATCCTGGGAAAAAAAGGTTTTCCAGTACAGAAACTGCCCAAAAAGTTTGAAAAGCTATGGAGTCCCTAGTTTGCCCAGGACTGTCGCCATTTGCATTGATAGCACAAAGGTACAAAGGTCATTTTCACCTCCTCCTTAACTTGCCTTATTTATGCTGTTATTTAAGCTGGTGTATAGCAACAGGTTGTAAGCTAAAGGTAATAAAGACTATCAGGTAAAGAGTAAATAGGAGATGGTAAAAGCTTTGCAAATAATGTTTTCTTTTTATTGATTTCCTGAGCATGTACAGGAGCAAATGTAACTGTATGGTTTACGCATTCACATGGGCAGGCTATATGCATTGGTTGATAATAGTATGCACTGAGAATAACTGTGATTGAAATTCAAAAATTCCTTATGTCACCGATCACTATTTTGTTTATCTGGATTAACATAATGGGACCTTGTTGTTGTAAGTTTTCTGTTTTATATGTTAGAAAAAAAATATACCTGACAGTGTGTCTAGAAAAGCAATAAATATTATCTGATTAAAAAAAAATAGAATACTGATCAATAAATGCACATTTAGATATCCTGCTTTGATTCTACAATGAGCCATCAATGTATTTAAGAATATATTTCTATGTTTATTGAATGCCTTTCTTCTTTTCTGCTCCTCCCCATACAGAAGCTCAATTTCTGGGAGTTATGCTAAACCACCCGTTTTCAGAGCATGTCTATTGGGAGCTCTCTTCATTCTCCTGTTCCCTTCTCCGTCATTTCAAGCAGGCTCAGCTGGATCCACCATCCGGCAATCCTGCTCCGGGCTGCACAGTGTTATTTACAGCTAGGATGCAGGTTGTAAACCATCACTATCTGTAATATTGCAGGTAGCCAGGGTTTTCCACACCATGGCCACTTGCATTCTAGCAACCAGTGAAGCTAGATATTTAGGTGGCAGATCCAGCTAAATCTATCACTGCATGACAGGAAAGGAGCAAGGGGGGAGAGTAGGACCAGGCAGGGGCGGACTGACCATTTGGAAATCTCTGGACATAGTCAGACAATTTCTCACTCTTGCGCTGGTACATATGCTCAAACAGATATGTCATCTCCTTGCAATTCTTGACCCTACTGAACACTTCTCTCAAGGCCTCCAGGCACTCATGGGTTGTACTCTCTGGCTTGTCTCAGATTGTAATGATTGGACAGGCAAACTGACCACGCTAACATGAATTCAACCATGAAGGGGGGAACTGGCAGATTTAACCACGTAATTCAGAGGAATGACAGCACAACATAACTTCTTTATAGAAAAAGCACATGTGCAATACAGAAAGGAAGAGATTTATTACATTTGATTTTTGGGTTTACAAACACTTTAACTATTGATAGTTTAACTGCGTATAATTACAAAATGTTATTTCCATATCTTTGTGTAAATGTAAGTATATTTATAATTTTAAAAAAAGTTTTGTTACAAATTTTATTTGCTTTTTTTCTGCAGATCTTGAAAAATACAAGTTCACTGACAGTGAACTTAAAAATTGCACATTTGGTGATATGAAAGTTGGATGTCAGATCACCTTTGACGATGATTACAGTGCCTATTGGATATATTTTGTAAATTTCCTGGGCACCTTGGCCGTTCTTCCAGGCAATATTGTATCAGCTCTTCTGATGGACAAGATTGGCAGGTTAACTATGCTGGGTATGTTGACAATAAAGACTTTGTTGCCACTAGGGAGGTGGTTTTGCATACCTCATGCTTCAAGGATCTCAACTTTCAGACCTTGGTTTGTTCCAGTATATGCAGCAAATTTACAGTAAAACTAAAGCGCTTCATTCTCTTGTTTGCCTTGCTTGCTATATATCCTTACGATCAGGCAGTTTGTGTGAATCACAGGAAAGTTTCTTCTTTGATGTATGTTCACCTGTGCATGTCTGTGTATCTCTACGTATAGTCAAGCACGACTAACAAGAAAATGAAGTAGGTAGTGGAAATTTGCTGCAAATTCTAGGTATTTTGTTTTATCTTACTACTGAAATCACTTTATTATCTATGATTGAGACAGTTCTTGCTTCAACTGTGCTAAATTGCAGTAATCTACTTGGACTATGGCTGCCAGACACCAGAAACCAGGTGTTGAAGTAAAGGGAAACAAATGCCAACTCCGATATTACTTTTTCTGATTTTCAAATGTTTCTAATTACTCAGTAATTTCTGACACATTCTATACATCTGGTAGCCAGGATATGGATAATGTTCCGTGTGTTGGGGCGCTGCAGTACATTTTTATTTAAATTGTACTTGTGCCACATTGTGCACAAAACAAAGCATAGTGTCCAGTGTAACAGAACTGACCCACAGAATACCGCTGCCCCGTCCGAACACCGACAACAGACACCACAATGGTTTGATGAATTAGGATCTCACTACAGAGCAGACGGTCCGGCTCCTACACTGGAGTAGAGGAGAGGCCAGTGTGATCAGCTCTTTCAATTCACATGTCTAGTTCAGAATCAACAACCAGGAATAGTCTTCATATGGCTGATAAATATTACTGTCCCATCTGAAGTAATTCCAATCGCATTCTCAGTGTCCATTAGTCACCCTGTACCCCTAAGAGACACAGGGTGACTTGCACATAAGATGGATATGTGGAGCTGAGACAGGGGTCTCCCAACCTCTGCAAAGTAAGCTGGGTTCCATGAGTCCCCCATCCAGTCATTAAAAAAAATTGCAACCCCGCCTCAGATTTTGATGCTTCAAGGTGTATCACAGCCCAATTATTTTTAATGGGATGCTTAATGCAGCATGGCTGAAATGTGTTCTGGTGTGATTGGGCTCCAGGACCTTATGCTGTGTCTACTGAAAAACAACCCCACCCTTGCCATATCGACCATCACTTTGTGGCAGGATCAGCCTGTTTATGGTTATTCCATTAAAAAAAATCTTTTTAAAGAAGTCATGTCAATTTAGATTGATCTCTTAGATCAGGCGTGAGAAACGTCCGTAATAATGTTCTAGTGATAATTTCTCTGTAAATGATTTGCTTGTTGATTGCAATTTTGACTGGAAATCTAAAAAGAGATAAACTAACAAAAAAGTAGCTTCTTAGGCCTCATGCCCTTAGATTGTAAGCTCCAAGGAGCAGGGCCCTCCTAACCCTCTTGTATTGAACTGTATTGTTGCTGTATTGTCTCCTGTTATATTGTAAAGCGCTGAGCAAACTGTTGGCGCTATATAAATCCTGTATAATAATAATGCATATTGGATGTTTTTTGCTGTCTCTATTAGACGCCTTTTTTCCTGGCAGCAGTATTTTGGCAAAAAAAAAAATGCTTGACACTGGCCAGTGAAATGAATTAACAAGCACTAGTGTTAATGCGTGTTCAGATGCGTTAACAAGCGTTTTCACACTTTTTATCTGCCAAAACATTGCTGCTCCTGAATGCGCTGCCAGTGAGTTTTTGTTTCTGCCTATAAACGCCCCTGCCTTTAAATTCGTTTTGTAACCATAATCAATTTTTTTACAATGTATATATAGCCTAAACTGTGTATGGTATTGGTTTTGGATAGAGTAATACAATATTACAGACTGTGTCAATATGGGGATAGTTCCCTTCACTTCCTGTCCTGGAAACTCTACAGGCAATGATCAGCAATCTCCCAAAATAGAGGAAAAGTCTTATCTCGTACAGTTGTTGTTAGAACATTTTTCCCTTTTCCTCTCCTGACAGCTCTAACATTTTAGATTTACCCCCCCTTTCTGTCTCAGGACCAATGATCACCAGAACAATTTGGAGGGATAAATCTACATAATAAGGACACAAACAGCACTAAACCCTTGACAGAAGATCTAACCCCTCACTACTCCATCTAGTTTTAAAACAAGTTTTACCTTTACACACAATCATTTGAAGACTTGACTCTTAATTTCACCTTTCATTGGCTCTCCTTAACAAAAATAGCAGATAATATCACCAACAAGGACTGATATATTTTAGTGAATCAAGTCTGTTGCCTTTAATACATTTGTTCTGGATCAAAAGATGTATCTACTGCCATAGCTTTGGGTGAGTCTAGACCGCAGTTTGTTTTTTCTCAGAGGTGAGCTGGGGTAGGAATTGAGTATTCTCAGCACATCTGAAAACTGAAATATAAATAGTATGAGGCATGCCACAAAACTCTATTGATGCAATGTGTTAATTACTGTGTATTGTACAGGTGGCTCTATGGTACTTTCTGGCATCAGTTGCTTCCTCCTATGGTTTGGTACCAGTGAGTCTATGATGGTGGGAATGCTGTGCGTATATAACGGTCTTACCATTTCGGCTTGGAACTCCCTTGATGTAGTCACTGTGGAACTGTATCCAACAGATAAACGGTAAGTATCACACACAGAACAATGCTATATGTGCATTAAAGGAAAAACTTAATTATTTATTGATCTGACCCTAATTCCGGTGAAATTACTTGAATCAATACTAATAAAGGTTTGACTCCACCAAGGCTGTTCTTTCATTTCCTAAAACTCTTTCATTTAATTTTAGAAACAGCTGGTGTTTTGTTGTGAGTGATTGGTTTTACAACCCTGATAGATTTTTTAATTATCAAGAAGCATAATTGGCATCAGGCTTTCAAAATGGGCCAGAAAAAAATGAGCTGTGACAATCTATCAAAGTAGTTGACTCCAAATGTCCATCGTCTGGTACAGCTGCAGAGCTATAGCATAAAAAAAGCATTCTAAAAAAGGTATAGGTTAAAAAAATAGAAGGATGAACATTAAAAAAAAATAAAAATAAATAAAAATACTATTAAAAAGTACACTCTATTGCTCTTAGTCTATTACCTCAAAAAAGTATCCTCTGTTGTTCTCAGCCTCCTCCAAATCTCCAAAATCCTTTTTTATTGCTCATGTGATATGACTTCCTGATAGTGGCTACATTCATTCCCCATGGTCCCCTCTTCGTAGGAACTTTGCCACTCTCTCTTGCTTGCTCCCGGGACAGTCTAAGGTCTATGGACCATGGATTATGGGACTTGTAGTATGCATAGAGCAGTGCACATGGCTACAACTAACATACACTGTTAGTTCCATGCAAACGGAAGTGATGGGGAGGGGGAAAGGTTCAGGAGCTCACAGAGATCATTACAAGGAGGCAGAAAAACACAGTAAGAAACAATTTAATGAAAAATAGATTAGAGGCCCATTTGGTAGTGGGTGTGTATGATTTTTTTTTTGGTGAATAAGGATATCGTTTATAGTTGCTTTAAAAAACTCACAAGAATAATAGGAGAGAGACTGCAGCTCCTGTTGTCTTTAATGTTAAACATTGGTGTCACACTCCCTCTGCTGGATTCTCTGTAGAAATACAATATGAAAAAAATGCCATCAAGTGTTTTCACAGCCTGGAGCCTTTACAACCACTTTAAGTGATACCATTCCTTATCAAAAAGGTAGCTGTCAGGGGAGAAAATTCCTGAAACATTTTCAAAATGCTAGCAGATATCAAACCCACACTAATCTATCCAATTCCACTCAACTGTATTTGACTTAAAGCCCAACTCTTAAAAAAATGATCCCTTGCAGTGGGGCTTCCCCTCCCTAATACCACATTCATTTGCCAGAGCCCTTGAAATAATGTGGCACGTGAGACATTCTCCCCATGCTCTTGCCTTGTAGGCCAGTCGCGAATCCCCAGTATGTGGGACTTTAGGGGGTGGTTTGGAGGTCATTAACGCTGTATAAGCTCCAACACAGACAAGCACACAGCTTACACATAGCTTTTTTTGAACATTCTTTATTTAAACAGTTTTTTAGAGTACAAACATATACAAAAATAAGACGCATTAATGGATACTAGCAGATAAGACAACGAACCAGGTACGGTCCAATTACGTATAGATTCAAATTATCAGTTTCAAAAACAGCAAAATAGAGCACACTGGTCTGAAAGGTAGTACAAATACTCATAGCTTTTAATTCAGGGTTAATGTAATCAGAGCAGTGGGGGGAGAATAGAGAAGGTGAGAGGGGTCTCCTTTGCGTCCAGCAAAACGGGTGTACAGCATCATACTTTAGTCATTTTATTAACTGACATATGTTGACTTCCTTTATATCAGAAGAGAGCAATCATTACATATTTAGACATTTTGCTTTCCTGATTTCCTTGTCTCCCACATGTAATACTTTACACACGCTTCATGCATTGTATGTTTGAAGAATGCTGGGAAGCCTGCTGTTTCTTGCTCCATTGGCCACACTGGCCACATTGCCAAGACCTGCTACCTTCTTCTCAGTACATCATACAAGAAAAGAGTGTGATTGGTCATAAGTTTTGCAGAGCTTTCCTATTTCAATTACAAAATTTATAGATGCTCTTTATTACTCCATTTATGACCACTGCATATCTCCCTAATGCTATCTACTGCTTTGTTTAATTTCTGATGTTTGGCTTAAACAGCAAGGGCATTAAGCTCCATACACACAATGTGGACGAATGATCATCCTTTTTTTTTTTGCCTGCTAGTCTCATATCGATAATGTAAAGTTTACTAAAATTACGAACATTCTCGTAGGAAAGAATAAAAATTCAGAAGTGATGGCATGTGTTGTAATGTATTTGTATTGTATTTTCGGACAAAAGCTGTACTGATTCAGTGAAAATCGTATGTTCTGGTATCGTACGAGAAATTTTGGAGCTTGTCCCTTCGAATAATTTTGGACGAAAGCTGTGTACTAACAATCAGATTATCGTACGATCACTTCGAAAGCGGTACTTTTTGTATGATTTTCTTATCATGTGTACTAGGCTTTAGACAATGAGAAATTGATCATTCCTTAGTGACATCACACTATAAACAGTGCACCAAAATTACGGCTCACAGAGGGGTGATTTACTAAAACTGAAGCACTCAAAATCTGGTGCATCTGTGCATGGTAATCAATCAGCTTGTAACTTCAGCTTGTTCAGTTAAGCGTTGACAACAAAACCTGCAAGCTGATCGGTTTCTATGAAGAGCTGCACTAGATTTTCTACCATGCAGCTTTAGTAAATAACCCCCATAGTATCATATGGTAGATGTGCTTTTACGTTACGTTAATAATAAACTAGAAAGGACATCAGTATGAATTGTGCCAAGAAAATATACAAAGGAATGATGTGACCTTACAAGTGCCATGCATGTTTCCTTACAGATCCACAGGATTTGGCTTTTTGAATGCACTTTGCAAAGCAGCAGCTGTACTAGGAAACCTAATATTTGGCTCACTCGTTGGAATCACCAAAGCCATACCGATTCTTCTTGCCTCAACCGTGCTGGTCTGCGGTGGTCTGGTGGGACTTCGACTGCCGGACACAAGAAACCAGGTGTTGATGTAAATGGAAACAAAAGCCATCTCCAATATTACTTTTTCAAAATTTTCTTCATAACCATCAGCCTAAGAGATACAAAATACTCGACAATTCATTCAGAAGCCCAAACACATTTTGTTCCCAAGATGTTGATGTTTTTGCTGTGCTATGTATGTAGAACAAACGCTGTCTGACACACCATGTTGTTACTTACCATTTTCACAAGCTTTAAATTGTGTGTTTCTTTTTATTATTTTACCAAACTTCCATTCTTGAGCAACCTTTTCAGAATTATACAGTACGTATATCCTCACAAAATGCAGGCACAGTAAGCAAGTTGTACAACTGGATAGGAAAAGAACAATTTGTGCATGGGCCATGTAGCAAGCCCCCCATTCCCACCCGATTGCCAAGAACTCTGCATGCTTCAATTATAAATAGATCAGCTTTGAGCAGTATCAACACTACTAGCTATACTGCTGTGGCTATATGTCAAGGATCACAGAGGTATCTAACACGGATGCACCCACAGTAGGGAATCTAGGTCTCCATCTTCAATTCATGTGCATGAGTAGATGTCCAATGAACCATGCAGTGGGCAGAAATCCTCACAAACCTCCTCCAGCACATGAAGCATACCTGGAATCCCTTTATTTAAATAAGAAGGGTCTGTGTCAACAATGTATTTCATCCAGGAATGTCTTTCACACCATGGAACTTAGGCAGACCTCTGCTTTGCCCTTTCAGGGCTAATCACAAGTTGCCTTTAATGAACCCTTCCTCAGCAGAACATGCTCACCTCTTCTTTGCTCCCATGCAGCTCTTTTCTGCTGCCAAGAGTGAGGTGATTTGCTCGAATTTTACTTGAGAGGTCTTCTCATCACCACATGTAATGGTGAAAAGAGTCATGAAGTAGAAGGGGAAAGAGTCACAAGCGCCTTCATACCCAGACGTGAATTTTCTTTATTCCCAGCAATTGAACCGAGCAAAGAAAAGGCGAGTATGCTGGGCAGAAGGCATTAAGGTAAATCTGTTCCTTTGCCCTGCATGGACATTGCATTGGTCTGTTTTATGGTATACTTTTGGGGTGATCCCACATAACACACCTCAAAACCTTCTTCATAGCACTTGCTCAGCCCTTTATGAAGGTAGTTCTACTGCAACTGCAAGACTTGAAATTTTGCATTATTTCTATTGCAAGTGCTCCTCAATGGGATTTTTGGGGATTTGGCAAATACTTGAAGATAGATTTTAAAAAGTTTAGGTTCTTTTCTACAACCAATGTAATATCCATACCATAAATAATACTCATTCATTACTTTTTATAATGTTTGTTCTGGTGAGGAATCAGAGATGCCAGGCAGAAAACTATCAGAGAATATCAAGGGTAAATGTAGTGATGGAACCTACCAGTAGTGTGGAACATGACATACCCTGCGCTGATATTTTGTTTTTTTTAAATAACAGTGGAACATGAAAGCCAATATATCCACGGACATCCAATCAGTACAAAATAGCACATACGCATTAAAATTACCCAATGACACCCATACACCCCACCACTACACATCAGGAAATAAACATTTTCCTTTTAAACTTTGTCATTATTAGCTAAATACTATAAATCAAAGAAATGAAACCAGGATTAGCTATAAAAATAGGAAGAAATATCCCGACCCCATCACACCTCATCCAGCCCAAGTGGTTAGCAGGGAAAATCAGCCTCAGCTCAATTCATCCAAGCCATGTCCACAATATGTTCTGCTCCACCCCATGATTAAGTCTCTGGGGGCGGGGTGAAACATGTTGGGGGCATGGCTTGGATGAACTGAGCTGAGGCTGCTTTTACCTTCCAACCACTCAGGTCAGGCCAGGCCAGGGGAGGTGTGTGGTGGTTGGAGTATCTCTTCCTATTTCTACAGCATGCTTTGGGTCTGGACAAACCTCTCCCCAGCCTGCATCCAATTCAATGGACCTAGTTAGCCTGGGGCCACTATACAGTTATCATTGGTCACGGGATTTGTTATATTCATTATATTTATAGTGTTTATTTGCTACCACTAGTTAAAGAGAGGTGACCCCTGCTTCTCTGTAAATAAACAAGAAAAGTTGCCTGAGCCCTGAAATGTCCAAGACAACATTTAATGTGTATCTAAACCCAAAAACAAAAAAGTATTATGTTGCAGCTTAGTGGTTATTGGATGAGGTGGTTGCATTTGTTTTTTTTTTTTTTTGTCTTTTTTCCTCTTTTCTTACATGGTAATCCTGTGAATAAAAACACTTTCTGTCATTGGGTAGCTGCAATCAAGGTACTGTATCTATGGACAGAGCCATGGTTGTCACCCAGGATGGACTATTACTACTACTATTTCATTACTATGAACTATATAATTCATCTCTATTACATGGCAGCTGATGGAATTATTGTAAAGATAAGAAGGGTAGATAATATTTTTTTGTACTTGCTGAAAATGTTCCTAGTCTGAAAAAAAAACTAATGGAATCACCACATCTAAGAAATGGTAAACTGCAATACATAAAAATTTTGTGCTTGAGTTTAGTTGTTTTAGGGTTTACGTAGTCTGTGCTGAAGATAACTGTCATTATAATGCAAACAATGTGCTGCGATTCACTCAATAATGCTAACTTCAAATAATAAATATATCCATGTACTTCTATTAATAATAAGTGCCAAAAATAATATATTAAATAAATAAATCAACCAATATCAGTAATCAAAAGCAATGTCCATATACAGTTGTGTTCAAAATAATAGCAGTGTGTTGAAAAAAGTGAATAAAGCTCAAAATCCTTCTAATAGCTTTTATTTCCATACACACAAATGCATTGGGAACACTACACATTCTATTCCAAATCAAAACATGAAGAAAAATATATCAAATTTGTTTTGTTCCTCTAAAAAAATTGTAGAAATGTGAATATTAGACTGTTCAAAAAAATAGCAGTGTTTGTATTCTTCTTTACAAACTCAAACATTCACTATATAAACTGAAAAATGTTTGAAGATTTTGCTTTCCTTTGAATCACTTAATGAATATTTAGTTGTATAAGCACTGTTTCTGAGAACTGCTGTACATCTGTGTTGCATGGAGTCAACCAACTTCTGGCACCTGTGAACAGTTTCTTCTCTATTTCTTGGTTTTGCCTCAGAAACTGCATTTTTGATGTCACCTCACAAGTTTTCTATTGGATTAAGATCTGGGGATTGGGCTGGCCACTCCATAACGTCAATCTTGTTGGTCTGGAATCAAGATGTTGCACGTTTAATGGTGTGTTTTGGGGTCGTTGTCTTGTTGGAACACCCATTTCAAGGGCATTTCCTCTTCAGGATAAGGCAGCATGACCTCTTCAAGTATTCTGATGTATTCAAACTGATCCATGATCCCTGGTATGTGATAAATAGGCCCAACACCGTAGTATGAGAAACATCCCCATATCATGATGCTTGTGCAACAATGCTTCACTGTCTTCACAGTGTACTGTGGCTTGAATTCAGTGTTTGGGGGTCATCTGACAAACTGTCTCCGGCCATTAGACTCAAAAAGAACAATCTTACCTTCATCAGTCCACAAAATGTTGCGCCATTTCTCTTTAGGCCAGTCAATGTGCTCTTTGGCAAATTGTAACCTCTTCAGCACGTCTTTTTTTCAACAGTGGGACTTTGCGGGGGCTTCTTGCAGATAGCTTGGCTTCACATAGGCGTCTTCTAATTGTAACAGTACTCACAGATAACTTTAGACCTTCCTTGATCTTCCTGGAGCTGATTGTTGGCTGAGTCCTTGCCATTTTGGCTATTCTTCTATCCATTCGAATGGTAGTTTTTCGCTTTCTTCCACGTCTTTCAGGTTTTGGTTGCCTTTTTAAAGCATTTACGATCATTTTAGCTATGCAGCCTATCATTTTCTGCACTTCTTTATATGTTTCCCCCTCTCCAATCAACTTTTTAATCAAGGTACGCTGTTCTTCTGAACAATGTCTGGAACGACCTATTTTCCTCAGATTGTCAGAGAGAAATGCACTGTAACCAGCATGTACAACCTTTGCTGCCTTCCTTCCTTAAATAAGGGCAATAATTGCCACCTGTATTTTAAAGAATGAATGACCTCACTAATAGAACTCCACACTGCTATTATGTTGAACATGTCCCTTTCAATTAGTGATTCAATTACACAGAATCAGCAGCATGCATGTCATGACTGTTGGGTTTTATTTCTATTACTCCACTACACCTGCTAGTAAATTATTTGCCATGTAGAAATGTCATTTCTACCAAAAACCAGTGATTGATCAGGTTAGTGATGTCTGACTGCTATTATTTTGAACACAACTGTACATATTAATAGAAGTACATGGATGTATTTATTATTTGAATTTAGCATTATTGAGTGAAGCACAGCACATTTTTTGTTATTTAATATTGGTTTGATACACTAATATGTTAGATGCAGGCAATTCACAATTAGTACTCTGGACTATTCATCACTTATATAGCAGCTCACAAGTCTTCACTTTTATATGTCATTATAATGCATATATGAGATTTGTACTGACCAAATGTAATTTTAAATTTTGGTGTATTGAGTAACATAATATTAAGTAATTTTAGATTTTTGTTATTCAGTAACATTATTAAGTGCTTACTCATGAAACACGCCAGGTGCTATTTTGCTATCCTGCTCCACTGCTATTTAAAATGTAAACTGTCATGGTAACAGCTTGCCATTGCTGACCACCTTCTAAAAAGGTACTACTGCTTAAAATGGCTTTTTTGCTATTAGAAGCAATATGTAGTCTGCTGACTTTTAACAATGTTGACAGAGACATTTTCATGATGACTTTTTGAGAAGCTGGGGTCCATATGTGTGCTCCCCAAAGGTGACCTTTATATGATGTATTAAATAGCTTTTATCTAAGGGCACAGGACTGTCTTTTTCTTAGTGTTGCCTTAAGCAGGCCATAGAAAAGTTGAAAACTGAAGAAAAACTCTTGTCAATCGTCAGATTGTT